AAAGGCACAGACAAGGACAAATCATAAAAGAAATTACCAAAATTCACTACATTTGGATTTTAAACTTCTGTTTAATAAGCACAGCATACACAAAGTTAAAAGATAAAAGACATAGAAAAGGAGAAGATATTTTGCAATCCATATAACAAAAGATTAATAACCCCTCTAAATAAATGTTTTAAATAGTCCAATATAAATTCAGATACCTCAATATTCTCCAAATACCCCAACAGAAAAATGGGCAAAGACTATGAATAGGCAATTCACAGAAGAGGACATTCAGATGGACAACAATCATATGAAAAGATGGGCACCTTTCTAGTAATTAGAGTAACGCAATTATAAAGAATGTAAGATAACATTTCACACCTTTCAGACTGCCAAACATTATATTTCATGTACTCTCAGTAGGAATGTAAAAAATTTTGGTGAGCAATCTGGCATTATCTCGTAAGACTGAATATGCAGGTGTTCTTGGACCCAGCGAATCCACTTCTGGGCCTAGATACAAGAAAACAGGCACACACAAAAAAAATATTCATTAAAGCCAGTTTCCAATAGTGAAAAATGGTAAACAGCCTAAATTCCCTCAACAGGAGAATGGATAAATAAATCGTGGTGTGTTCAAACAATGGCCATCAAACTAGAGCTCCAGGCATCAGTGGGGGTAGATTGTCAAAAGCGAGTTGTAGAATGCTCTGTAAAGTGTGATCCATTTATATCAAGTTTGGAGACAGAATTCAATACCATATATTATTTATGGATACATGAAATATGCAGTAAGAGTATAAAAATGCGTGTGAACAATAAGTACCAAATTCAAGACAGTAATTACATCAGAGGATGAGCACGAGGAAGCAGAGAAATGGGGTTCAGGAAGGGAACACAGGGGCTTCATCTCTATCTTCAATTAAAAAAATCTGATTCGAATATAGTTAAAATATTAGAACGGTAAAATATACAGCTGGGTGGTGAGTCCATTCACATGCTTTCCTATATGTTTGAAAATTTTCCTAAGAGAAAAGAAATGCTTTGATTCTATAAAATGCAGTTGACTATGTTACCATGTAACAACAAAAATCTCCTCTTGGCTCCATCCTAATACCTTTTGCCATAACAGGCTCTGATGCTCACTGGCTCTGTGACTTTAGGGGACTTGTTTAAACCCTTTGAGCCTTCATTTCCTCATGTATTAATTGAAGATAAATATGACACCTTCTTCACGGTCTTGTTGGGAAGTTGAAAGAGCTCAGCACCAGTGCATATGGTAAGCTGTCAGGGCTTGCTCATTTCATTCCCTCGTCTAACAAGTGTTCATTGGGCCTCTACTGTGTGCCTGGCACTGTTCTAGACACTAGGGATAGAGCAGTGGGGGAAAAAAAAAAACAGATAAAGTCCCTGCGTTTATGGAGCTTACAGTCTAGTGTAGGGAGGCACGTGATGAAGATAAATAAGTTAAACATATAGTCGAGCAGATGGTGTTAAGGGCTAAGGAGAGAAATAAAGCAGGGAATGTTAGCTGTAATTGCTTCTCTCCTGTCTGTCTCTCTTCCTTTCCCCCTTCCCACTCCCAGCCCTCCTTCCTCCGCTTCCCCCATCAGTCTTTCTGTGTCTGCTTTTTCACTTTCCTCTCTTCTTCTATTTGCATTGCTCCTGTGCCCATGACGTCCTGGCACTGAATCGTTTGTTGCCCACTCATCTTAATGATTGCTTTCTGCTGGCTAAGGACACTGTGGCTTTTGTGGAGTCGGTGACTGAGCTTTAAGTTTCCTTTGTGCTCAGAGCACTTAGCACGAGTGTAGGCAGGTAGCGGCAGCTCTACTGACTCTTGTTTGAAAGATGATAGAAAATTATCAGAGCAACTGGGTAACTGATCGGAGCCATTCACGAAGAGAGCTTGCAGCCCCAGATCAACACTCCCCTGGAGTGCTGGCCTCCAAGCCCAGCTCTGATGTTTTCCAACAGTGTGGTCTTAGGCTAGTTTCTTCACCTCATCAGATCTTTGTTTCCTTTTCTGTAAAATAGGGGGTTGTATAGATGATTTCTAAGGTCGCTGCCCGTGCTCCCAGTACTAAACCCATTTTTAAAGTCTAGGGTTTTCCATTCTAATTCATTGTTTCACAGTGTCTTTCTTTCTTTCTTTCTATCCTTGATGACTTGGAGAAACATCTCAGCAAATATTTCTTCATTTTGGAGACCGTTTTAAGTATTTGATGCTATCTTTTGACTTCTTTGACTCTATGCACAAAACAGTCATATTGTAGGATCTTATAACATTAGTAGCAAAAGGGACCTTAGAGATAATAACAATAGTTACTATTTATTAAGCAACTACCGTATACTTTTCCTCATTATAGTACTTTGTAACAGGTTTTATGGTCCCCCTTTTAGACAGCCGTATTGCACGACTGATGAACAACTTCAGAATCAGACAGTCTTGGGTTCAAGTCCTGGTTCTGCCACTTAATAATTGTGTGACATTGGACAGTTACATTACCTCTGTAAGCCTCATTTTCCTCCTTTGCAAAAGGAGAGTATCACTCAGCTCAAATGGTTGTGATGAGGATTAAATGCAATAGTAAATCTACAATGGTTGACATACTGGCTGCCACAGAGTGAGGGCTAAATGGCTGATTTCGTTTTTAACATTTACAAGGAGTAACTTATGCAAGGTCTCAGTTACCAAGTGGCGGAGCTGGACCTCAACCTGGGCAGTTTGGTCCAGCATCCGTGCAGTTATGCACAATGGTATGCCTCCTCAGCAGTTCACAGGACCTATTTTGGGGAAGTGGATTGAAATTTTAGTTTTTGAGACTGCATCTCACAGTGACTCAGCAAAACCTGAACCTTGCTGAATCCCAAGTGGGGTTGAAAAACAGACACAGCACTCATGGGAGAGGAAGAATGTGGAGAAAGTGCAGGACAGGGGACCTTGGCCTTGAGCTCTGTAGATGCGAGGATCAGAGGTTGCGGCAGGCTCCAAAGAGACAGGGGGTATAGGACTAGTTGTGCATGACCTGCTGGGCATCTGGAGGCTTCAGTGTTAAGCCAGGGATTTTTTTCTGTAGCCTTTCTAGTCCAAAAGAATCAGTCTCTTGGAAATGAAGGGTGTGTGTATGTGTGTGTGTGCAGAAGTCAGGTGCAATTAAAAAGGAGAAAATTGATAAATCCCACCAAGGAAGAGTCATCCAAAAGCCCTCACTGGCCCCCATCACCTTATTTCTGAGATTTGAAAAGGCATAGCTCCCAATTCACAAGGCCCTTCTAGGCACCAAGTCCTTTCTTTACCCTGTGCTCTGAGGAGGCTGGACTAGATGATCTATAGGGAATGGGAACAGATTTTGGAGCCAGATCAAACTGAGGCGAATCCCTACTTAATTCTGATGGCGAGACTCATTTCCTCATCTGTAAGAAAGACTAAGACCGCCTATCTCACAGCTTGTTGTAAGGATGAGAGCTGTGTGAAATGCTTAGCAGAGTTCTTGGCACATAGTAAGCATTCAGTAAATGGTAGGTGTGAAGACGATGATGATGATGATGGATAATGATGATTATGACAGTGACAACAATTATAATGATAGTAGTGGTGATGATGATGATAGAATCACAAGGTAAATAATGTCAGAGAGTCTCATAAGGCCTCTAAAAAAGCCTTCCCTCTAAAAAACTAGAGAGAAATAGAAAGAGAAGGTCAGTTTGTAGATAGGCAGGAAAGAAGTTTTGATCATTTCATAGAACTGCAGGATATCCACATGGGGATGTCCTCTTGGGAGTTAGAAACATGAGACTGGAGATGAAGACTTGGCCCCTCTCTCTGACTCTGGTATCCATGAAGTCTTGATTACAGCAGACCTGAATTGAGCCCCTTCATATGTGGATCATTCCACTGTCCATGGTAGCAGCATGACATGCAAGAAAAGAAGGTTTGAAATAATGTGTTATCTATTAATTGTATCATCTTGCACAAGTACTTGACTTGCATAATAGGAATAGAAGTACCTACCTTACAGGGTTGTTTAGAGATTAAGTTAGTGAATATTAAGACTTTGAGCACAGAGACTGGCACATTGGAAAAATCTTTTAGTGTTTTTTTTTTTTTTTAAGATTTTATTTTTTTCCTTTTTCTCCCCAAAGCCCCCCGGTACATAGTTGTATATTCTTCATTGTGGGTCCTTCTAGTTGTGGCATGTGGGACGCTGCCTCAGCGTGGTTTGATGAGCAGTGCCATGTCCGCGCCCAGGATTCGAACCAACGAAACACTGGGCTGCCTGGAGCAGAGTGCGCGAACTTAACCTCTTGGCCACAGGGCCAGCCCCTGGAAAAATCTTTTAAAATGATTGTTCACATCCCTTTTTATGAAATAATCTACTCTAGATTAAAAATGAAGAGTATTACTTGAGAATGCCAAATCTTTTCAATTTACTACCTTTTCTAAGAACCATGTGCTAAACGGAGGTCTCAGAAACATTTAAAGAAATAATTCAGTTGCAGATTTAAGACTTCAATTGTGCTTCTAGAATTATGTCAGGTAACTGGTAGATACCAATGACCTAGAAGGCAAAGACCCTGCCATGGACATCCTTAAAGTCCAATTGGAGAAATAAGACACACTTGTGGAAGAGATAAAAATGAAAGACACTAAGTCAACAGAAGCTGAACAAAGTAGGTGTTCACACGAGGCTGAGGCTAGTATGTATATGAGAGCTCAGAAGTATTTGGACAGATGGCTGAATGGGTGCCACTTTTGGTGGTGTCATATTAATAGATTGAACAAGGAAAAGATTCACTTGCCACAAAGTGTTAATGACACTTAGCTTACGTTAAGCATTAGGCTGAGGATACAGCAAAGAAGAGATCTGACCATTAGGAGATCACTGAGTGGGGAATGAGAGTCTTGAACGGAGCATTAGAGCACAGTGTAACATATGCTGTTGACCAGGCAGAGGGGGCATACATGAGCTGACGTGACTTACCTTTCTGTTTGTATCTTCTCTCACCAGGGTCTTTCCACCTAATTCATTTGATGTTTGATGACTACGTGCTCTACCTATTAGAATCCCTGCACTGTCAGGAGAGGGCCAATGAGCTCATGCGAGCCATGAAGGGAGAAGGAAGCACCGGTAAGCCAGCATTTCACTGGGAATTGCCCTACTTGTTAATTTGATTTGTCTCCTTACTTCTGTGCTCTGTGTTTCTTTAACTCTGTATCCCAAAGAATTTAATTATGGTGAGCAAGTGGTGTGGAACCAATAATGTCTTTTTCTTCTTTAGGATGGGCATGTGTGTATATGGGAGTTGCCTTGCATGCCATGATGGTGATGAGAAACCATCGAAGGGTTTTAAGCAGAGGAGTGACATGACACAGAAAGAATATTTCATTTTTTAAAGTCCCTTAAAGACAACTTGCCTTGACCTTTGGCTCCAAGAACTTACCCTTTGTCTACCCGCAGCAGAAGTCCGAGAAGAGATTATTTTGACGGAGGCTGCCCCGCCAACCCCTTCACCAGTGCCATCGTTTTCTCCAGCAAAATCTGCCACATCTGTGGAAGTGCCACCTCCCTCTTCCCCTGTCAGCAACCCATCCCCTGAGTACACTGGCCTCAGCACTACAGGTAATGAAAGCTGCCTCAAAGGCTTTGTGTGGGGAGTTAACATTTAAAGCAAGAGCTTTCTGGAAAAATATTCTTCCCTCCAACCCCTCAAAAACAATGCCCAAACCTGAGTATCTTCCTGGATTTACGGATGACTTGCAGTTATTCATTTATTCGTTTGTACATATTGCTTATGCTTCTGTTTTCAAGTTGGCTGATTAAGTACATAATAAAATCTCTAGTCCCCAAAAACTAAGCCACTGAAATGATTAAAATGATATAAAACATAAATTAATACATGGCCATCTTTGAAAACAGAAAAGGGAGCTCTCTATGAACCAGAAACTGAGCCATATCTCTGGAAAGTGGGGTAGACAGGAAACCAAATGCTAAGCCATGGTACCCACAATTGAGGCAGGGGAAATAAGTGAGGTACAAACTGATGCTATGGGTTCCCCAAGGAAAGAGAGAGTGCATCTGGTTGGAGGTATCAAGGAATACCTCACAGCAGAGGGGGATCTGAGCCGGAACTTGATTTTAACTGACAAAGCTATAGCAGAAGGGCCTTCTGGGCAGAGGAGAGCATGAGCAAATGCACAGCAGTAGGGAAGTGTGGGGCCTTTTCAGGGAATGGTAAACTTTGGCTAAAATGTCAGAGGTCCATGAAGGAGTCTTAGAAGACTGGAAAGGTAAGTTGAAGACACATCTTCGAGGATCTTGAATGCCAAGATAAATTTTGGAAATGGAAAAAAGGAGATGTTACAAGGATAGTAATAGCTAGATGCTAATATCGAAATGTTACTTTATGATATGAAAAGGACCTTTGCATAATTGTCTCACTTGATATTCACAATAACACTGCAAGGCAGATATTGTTCCATTTTAGGGAGGAAAACTAAAAGGGTGAGAAGGTTAAATTTCTTGTCCTGGGTACCATAGTCAATAGTAGACATAAACAAATTCATTCACTCAGACATTCCACAAATGTCCTTGCTCACAAGACGCGTGGAAATGATACATTGTATATATAATATTCAAAATGTGTTAGCTAACATATAATAATAGAGAAGGGGTGTGAGTGAGTGTGTGTGTGTGTGTGTGTGTGTGTGTGTGTGTGTGTGTGTGTATCCAGGATCTCACATGTTTGCTGTGGGGATCAGATGACATAGGAAAGGCCAAAGTGCTTTGGTAACAGTGAAGTGCTATCTAGACGGAAAGGGTTACTCTTATTAATGCCTATAAAATGAGGACTACAGCCAAGAGCACCACAGGAGTTTGGAGAGAGAAGCAGTCACTTTCCTTCCCGCCTGGACTCTGGCAGGCAGGAGGGAAGCCTGCAGGAGAGAGGTGAGACTCAAAGGCAGCCTTAAAAGATGAGAAGGACTCAGCTCACGGGAGAGGAGTGGGCACGAGAAACCACAGGCTGAGACAACCTTCTGCTGGGTGGGCCCTGAGTGGGGTGGGGCAGGTGAAAAGACCAGTCTTTGTGGTGTGGAGGGCTGTGATAAGTAATTCATAATCTTTCCATCTAAACCTGCTCTACTATCCTCCCAGTTACCCAAGCATCAAACCTGGGAGTCAGCCTCAAATCCTTCCTCTCCCTCAACTCCTGTATTAGTTAAGATAGGCTAAGCTGCTGTAACAAATAGATCCAAAGATGTATGGAGTTAACACAGTAGAAATCGATTTCATTCTTGCAAACAGCCCTGGCAGGGTGTTTAGGTGGGAGAGGAGGCTCTCTTTAATGCAACTATTTGGAAACACGTGTTCTTTCAATACTGGCCTTCACCATACCCAAGGGCAGTGGTTCTCAAAGTGTGGTCCATGGACCAGCAGTATCAGCTTCTCCTGGGAACTTGTTAGAAATGCTCAGTATCAGGTCCCATCACAGACCTACTGAATCAGAAACTCTAGGGGTGGGCCCAGTGATTTGCTCGACAAGCCTTCAGGTGATCCTGACACTCACTTGTTTGAGGACGACTGCCTTAGGGCTCTGTCAAGTGTGCAGCCAGCTGACAGAAATGGAAAGTGGGTATGGAGGAGGAAACTCCACTCTCTTAAAAGCTGGCCTGAAATGGCACATGCCACTTCTACCTATATTCCATCAACGAGGACTTAGTCACGTGGCTTCAAGGAACTGCAAAGAGAGGCTGGGAAATGTAGGATGGCGTGTCCCCAGGAAGGGAATGGGGAACAGATTTTGGGGAGACAGCTAGCATTCTCTACCACACCTCCCAACTCTAGTTGTTCTAACACAAATCTTGGCTGACCCACTCCTTCCCGTCCCACTACTGCCTTGTGGTTCAGGCCTTCTTCCCCACCCCTCGTAGTCATCTACAGTGACTCTCCAGCTGGTTACCTGCCTCCAGACTCTTGTCTGTCCACTTTCACACTGCCCATTGGGCTAACTGTCCCGAAGCTTGTGCCTCCTCAAAGTGCTGGGGCAGAGAGCCCACTGCCTCACACTACAGCCTTAAAGCACTCTTCTCCAAACCGCTTCTTGTTCTGTTCCACCTCCAGGACTATCCTCCTTCTACCCTCTCATAAAATCCTGCTCGTCTTCTTTGACATTTTCCTCACCCTCCAGGTTGGAATCATCCCCCAGACCCTCATAGTGTGGGCTTATATCCTAGCTCTACTTAGAATAGGACTATTTTCAGAATAGACCAGGAACTAAATTATACTCTTTAAAGACCAAATAGGATGAGATTGTCCTATTTAGGATGTTGTCTTTCATCCATTCACTCACTCACACGTCCATCCATTTATCCATTTATCCAATAAATGTTTCTCAAGTGACTTCTCTGTGCTAAACCTTAAGACAGCTGGTGTTATGAACAAGAGAATCATGGGCCCTGCCCCTTGGGAGTTTATGGTTTAGAGGCTAGGGTTCTGATGAACAAGCAGTAGTTACAGGATAATGTATGAGTGCTATTAGGAGAAGGGCCAGGATGTTAGGGGAGCACAAAAAGGGACCTCCAACCTATATCTGGAGAGTCTGAGCAGACTGAATAATGAGAGAAAATGTAATCCAGGCAGAGGAAGTAAGTAGTACAAAGGCCTGGAGGCAAGAGAAAGCATGCCATTTTCAGGGAACTTAAAGTATATGTCCTAGGAGTCTTTTTATCAGTTCCTTCCCCAAAGTTTGCTCTTTCTCCAGAACTAGAGCTACTCAGAGAAGGAATGAGCAGACGCTTAAGAGCCTGTAAGGTGCCTGCCCTCTTTTGAACTTTGCCAGGGGCGGACACTTGCCAACAAACTCAGTGGCCCTTAGTCAGGGAGACTGGATTCTTCAGAATACTGAGAAGTAGGGTTGTCAGTAACTGGCAGCAGATGAAACTTTGATTTCACTTTGGGTACATAGCTAGAGAGGGTCCTCCTCCTCAGTGGAAGTTTAGATTTGAGCATCACTCTATTTGTTTACAGAGATGCACCTCGAATCATGTTTTGTTTTCTACTTTAAGGAGGAAGACCATGACTTCCTCCCATCTCCCTCCCATTTTCCTTCCCTAGTGAGTTGTTGTAGTTCCTGCTTTGAAGGCTTGGGAAGAGGAGTTGTAGAGAAAAGAACAACTTTATTCACTGAAAATAAACAGGGAAGAGAACTTGAACACTGTTCACAGCTCTTCAGCTGCTCAGGGGTCCTTTCAAGGCTGGAATTAGGGGGCAGCCATCCCGAGTGCCCTGCCTCACTCAGGAAGGAATGAGGGCAGTAAGGGCAGCCAGGAGCCATATAGCTGCCTGCATACCCCCACCACCGTCCCGGGAGACACACACGCAAGTCAGTTAGTGATAATATGCTTACTTCTAAAACAAACAGAGAAATTATGCAAATAAAACAGTTCTGCATTATGAAGCAGAAAGAATTTGAGTGGAACCTTTCTTGTAGTGTAGCAACATATCAAACAAGGAGACTAAGGAAATAAGGATACAGGAAGAATGTGAAGGAAAGGTGTCTAGGATCTCTTCACGACTATCATCCAGCTAGTGAGTATGCCTGGCTTTCTTCGGAGCAATTTGGAGGCCTCAAGGTATGGCAGGTGTGATAGTCAAAGCCACAGGAATATCATAAATGTGTTCAGATTTCTGCGCAATGTGTTCAAGAGTCATAAAAGTAGCTTCGTAGAAATACAAATGTGAAACAGGTTCTTTTCAGATGATTGTAACCTTTGAAGATTTTGGCACATTCCAGCTTTGTTCTCAGATATCTCCAGAGGGCATTAAAAATGTCATCCTATATAAAACTATGTGTAATATTTTTCTCAAGTACCACTTTTGAAATACTCCATTGCTAAATTAGACTGAATCTTGGCATGTATTGTGGGCCATGGTCTTGGAGGAAACATAAAGATAATTTCCTAACAACATATATGGTTTTATAGATATTACACTATAAAGGACAAATTATTTATCTATGATATACACCTAAATATTAGGAAATCTATTAAGGTAGGCTTCTTGAATTTTGGGATTTGTGCAATTTTTCATTGAACAATTCTGTAAATTGCAAAGCAATTACTGTAAATCTTATAAAATGCATTTGCCATGTTTCTTTTTTAAAAAAGTTAGCATATGTTTCTCATGCCCACTTAATTTTTATTTCTGTCTTAAAATTACTGCTTGATTTATACACCATTACTTTCCAAAAAGGTATCTGAAGTGGTTAACAATTAAAAAGACAAAAAGCAAAACCAAACCCAAACCAGGAAGCAAGAAATAAAGAATTGGGGGAAAATTAAATGAAACAAAACACCTCTTGGCTAAAACAGTTTATGAACACCTTAAATAAAATTTTACGTTATCTAGTTATTTTGTTGGGTTTCTAGCATGCTCTGAATATCACTGCTCAGATGATGAACATATTATCAAGTTCGACTTATTGAGAGTAAAGGCCAATCAGGTATCTGACACTCATCCACATATCAGTGTCTCACTTTTGATGGACACTTCCCCATTTTTCAGCCGTGAAAAATAGAACAGTATTATGTCTGCTTGGTGAGCACAGAGAGAAAATTAGTTTG